GATTCAACAAGCTCTGCTGACCGACATTTCGGGGATTCAAGGGGATCTGGCTCAAAGGTGGCAAGACAACATGGACAATGCTAGGACTGTTCACCACAGGAAACAAGACTCAGCAAATGTGTGTGAGTGAGGTGTAATCAGGTGTAACCTGGTAATCAGTCCTCATGAGCTTCAGCTGTGTGTTTGCAATCAGTGCTGATCTGGAAAGGGTTTGTGTGTGTTGCATGATGGGATATATAGTCCAGTTCGGTGGCAGATGTGTAGGAGTGTGAATGATAGTATGTGTTCTTCAGTGATCTGAAAGGGATCACTGGTGATTGTGACAAATCCATAGGTTAGTGTATACTCCATCAGCTGTTTTCATTTCAGTCAGCCTTGCATTTATTTAAAGAATTAATAAACTATTACGACTCAGAACAGTTTTTGTGTGTAATTCTTATGTTTTGTGGCAAGTAGCCTTGTAATAAGCATGATAAAGTACACGCAGGTGGTTGTTTATTCTCTCAGAATAAAGCCCTTAAGTCTTCTTCAACAGTACTCAGCTTTTCAATGGGCTCCTGATAAACCTGCTGGGCTTTATTCTGCAGTAACAACCTCCTAGATGTACTTTATATCTAAATTAAACATCCAGTGCTAACTTTGATGTTTGGACTGGATTTGTTTTTGTCAAACTCACATAACTCAGCCAATTAGTAAAAATTCAAACCATGATTTCACAAAGACCTACATTACATGAAAGGTCAGAGGAAAAATATTGTTTTAATCTAAGTTTAATAAGAAGAAAAGTCAAATGTGAGCAGTTGCTGGTGCTAGAGGGTGAATTGGAGCTGCACATTTTATGACAGTTTTATCATAGAAGTGAAAGTCTTTATGTTTTGATGTCGATTAATCTAATCAGTTGTATTCCATGTTTTTATTTCCAGTTTATCCATCTAATATCAAAAAACAACCAGAAGCTGCCAAAAGTAAACTGACCAATTTTAAACTGGTCAGTTTTCTACTAGCAGCTTCTCCATATCTACTGGTGTCCATCTTATTGGGAGTCAAATGCTACAGAGCTCATGGTGAGATCTCCAATTATAATGTATAAATCAATTTTTTATATTTTTTTTAATTAGACATCCCTTAATTCATTTTTTGTATTTTCCAGCTCAAGCTGAGGAGATTAATTAAAGGGATAGTTCACCCAAAACTAACATTTCTGTCATCATTTACTCACCCTAATTATTCCAAACCTGTTTCTTCCAAAGGATTTTTTGAAGAATAATGAAAATTCAACCCAGGCTCATTATGGATACATACCCCAGTATAAATTTCTGGAGAGCGGAAAATCTGTCCCAGGAGCTACTTTTTTTGCAGTTTTTGTTTTCGCGAATCCTCCAGAGGCTGTTGTGTACGCTTTTTCACATATCAAATTTCATTCGCAAGAGCCATTAGTGCCTGCTGTTTTCACATAAATCCACCAGAGGCCACTGTCGACTGACGGACCGTCCGACCAATACTCCCACCCACCCACTTCTCTAAACCCAACTGATAGAGGTTTTAAAAGTAATCCAGAAAAAGAAACGCCCTCGCAGCCACCTGATTTTTACTCCGTTTTAAGATCTTACCACATTCTCACCCTGTCATTTACTTGTTTATTTTATTTTATTTTTTGCCTTAGCCTTTGTTTTACCTGCTTTCTGAAACCGTTCTTCGCTGGACTCGAACCCCATCATCACCTTCACTCTGTGTCTCGAGTTCTCAGACATTCTTATCGAGCCACTCTGCAAACTAGTAACAGCAGAAAAGCCATCAACATGGAGTTAAGCAGTCAGCCGGTAAGCAAGAAAGAAACACAAGCCATCAGCGGCCTCATACTGCCCCATAGCGTTCGTTTTAAAGACAAAATGCAGCCATACCTACGTCTGGCTATATAATTCGTGCTCTCCAGAAATGTAAACGAGGATACATATTCACAATGAGCCTGTGTTGCGGAAATCTGTAACCACTGACGTTTATAGTATTTGTTTTCCCTACTACGGCAGTCAATGGTTACAGTTTTTTTTTTTTTTTTTTTTTTTTAGCATTCCTCAAAATATCTTCTTTAGTGTTCAATAGAAGAAACTTATAAAGATTTGGAACCACCTGGGGTGTGTAAATAGTGAGTAATATATTTATTTTGGAGGTGAACTGTACCTTTAATCAGCCGTCAGAGAGGAGGAGTGAAAGTCTGCAGTCCTGCTAAATAAACGCCAGAGTTTTTAGTTATTAGTTATTAAGTTATTACAGAAGCTTTTCTTTCTCTATTATTTTGTTTCTTTTCTTATGTCTGAATATGCTTAATCTAATTATCAAATGTCCTTATTGTTTGTTTGCTGAAATAGTTTTCAAATATGACCATGTCTTTGTAGTTGCTGTAATTTTGTGTCAAATCCTGTTTTGTTTCAACGTGTTTGCATTTTGTATACTTGGTAATAAAAAATAACAATAAAGACAGTCGTTAAAAGACCCTTTTTTTCTGTGTAAGTGGCATGATGCATTTGATTTAATGAAATTGCAGTTATTAATGTTGGAGTAAATATATATGACATTTTAAACTGAATATCTCTGTATCTACACAGACATAATGGAGACACTTCATATTTGTGACTCATTTGATTTAAGATGAATGTGTGCATAAAAGTGTGTCTGTAACCTCAAAAAGCCCATGTTGTTGTGAAATTTTCTGTATTACGTTCTCACACTTCCCTTTTTTTACTCTGAATCAAGACTGTCGATATTTGGAAATCCACTTCCCTTTTTTCCAATCAATACAATAGCTAGACCAGGGATGTCAAGCTCAATTCCTGGAGGGCCGCAGCCCTGCACAATTTAGTTCCAACCCTAAGTTGACACACCTAATGAAACTACTGTAATTCCTTCAGGCTTGTTTGAAACCTACAGGGAAACACTGGATTTGTCTCCCCATACATTTCCATTCATACACACGCGAATGCATCAGACAAGAAACGCAAGGTCATGCGTCAAGTTTCGCAAGTTGCTGCTGTGCAAAGTTTAAGCTTGGATAACTCTGACCTGCAAAAACATGACCTCTCTGGACAGAAATTTAAAACATGGAGCAATCGTTCGCTTTTGTAATGTCTAATTATCTTGTTTAATCCCGCCCCTTTTTGCAGCACCGTATGACAGAATTTCACGCACAAACTCTAGTGTGACCAGAGCTTTAGTGTGTTGGAGCAAGGTTGAAACTAAACTGTGCAGGGCTGCGGCCCTCCAGTAATTGAGTTTGACATCCCTGAGCTAGACCATGAAGTTGTTTATAATAATGATGATTGTTGTTAAGTGATTATGTAAATTGCCCTTAATACAGTCTATCAAGAGTCAAAGGTCTTTTTGTTAATGCGAAACAAGGGCTTGAAGCAGGGGTGTCAAACGTACGGCCCGTGGGCCGGATCAGCCCTACAAATGGGTTTTATCAGGCCCGCGAGATGCAATTTTTTAATAAAAGAAACTGCTGTTCCAATTGTGTCCACTGGACGGCGCAAATGCAAACTGTTAATTTCATTTGATCCAGAAGAATGAATCAGCATCAATGTGGCTGCCTTCTCTGATGCTGTGTTCACACCAGACCCGGAACGCGCGGATAAATCACGCTATTCGCGCGTAAATAGCCGTGTGAACATTTGAGTCTACTCGCTTCATTCGCGCATCGAACCCCGCTTCATTCACGTGTCAAACTCACATCAGAACAGACGCAGGGCTTCTGTCTGCACAGTGACTCTAGCTTCATAGCTATATGGCTAACATGGATTTTATGAAGAAAATAACAGTGTTTATGTGCTTTATGAAGACTGAAAAACAGTGTTGATATGTTTAGGGTCGTGTCTGAGTCCACTACATTCTTTCAGAGGTGCATCCAGCTCTGTGAGCTCATAAACTCCTCCAGAAACTGAACCTGGATGACGGAGGCTTTCAGCGGTGCTTCTGACTAAGCCAAGCCGAGTTTGATGAACTGTTGTCGGTGAAGGCTGAAGGATTTCCCTCGGAACACCGAAAACAGGTTCTACGTCACAATCACGCCCCCACAAGAGCAAGCTTCTGATTGGTTAACGCGGCACGAATGTATGCTGAAGTTCAGATTTTCGAATTCGAGAGATTTGCGCGAAACGCTCGTACAAACTCCCCACAGAAACGCCCACCGGCCTGGTTGGACCAGGACAGTGGCGTAGCGCAAAATGCGGAGGCCCCCCTGCAGGAATCGCTGACGGGGCCCCCTGATGAGGGGGTGGGGGGGACGTCATACGTCAATTTGCATATCACTGACGTCATCACGTTCTACCGTTTCTGTTTAACAGCCTATGGTTAATAAAGGGGTATTTATAATTGCACTACACTTTATAAGCATATTTATTTAACTAAATTTAATGCTGTTTGAATACAGTATATCATTATAGATGTGTAACGTTAGTGAATGTGCAGTAATCTCTCATATGTAATAAACTCAGACAAGTTCAGAAACTGTCACTAAAATATATGTGAATGTGAACAAGAAAAGAATAAACGCTCCAAATAAATTGTTAAAATAAAGTAGAAGTAGATCGGTTTGACTGTACAAGGGTAATACCTTCACACTGCCTGTGCTAAATCATTTGTCGTCGGTACGCAGAGGGGTGATCTGATCTCGGGCTGCAGGTGGGAGAGGCTGCTGTACGAGGACTGACTGGGCCGCCTGTCAGTGCTGTGAGGCGGGGGAGGGGCCGGCGGCATCACACGCAGCTCGTTGAGAAGAGTAGGGACGGTACAGTATGGAAAAATGACAGTCTAAAAAAATCTCCAATAACACAAAAAAAAGTCGCTAGATTTGTCGCTAAGGGGGTCTGAAAAGTCGCTAAATCTAGTGACAAAGTCGCTAAGTTGGCAACATTGGCGGCAAGCAATCAGAATGAAGTAGTCCACCGCTTGAGAGGTGTTCAGAGAACACAGACCTGTGAACTTTGGTTCCGACCACAGTTGTTCCCAACAGTTTATTGAAAATCGCGACGACGCCGGGCCCCCTAATCACGCGGGGCCCCCCCGCGGTGCGTGTGTAACCCTCCCAAAAAGGGAATAAAGTATTCACACACAACACAAGTTCTTTGCTGGACAAAATACAGTATTTATTTTGGGCCACAATAATCAAGGAAACGTCAAACACTCAATTCATTTAAATACTAATTTCACTTTTATTTTATACAATAATCCTAAAGATTAAATTTCCACACAAGGGGAGCAGCAGGTAGGGAATCAAAAGGACATAAAGTTCATGATGTAAAGATTGTTAGTGGACTGCATAAAAATTATTAGGTAAGGCAATTAAAATGACCACCACAAGGCATTTAACAAGGGGTATCAACCGTAATTGTGCAACACATCATCATTTCACATCAACCCAGAGTTGTAATACACCACACAGTAAATCTCATAAATATAAATGTATAAATAACACCCATAAATAGACTCCACACAGCAATCAAATCATAAGCTACCATCAATACCACTCCAGCTAAATATCAAGCCGTCGTCATTTAACATTTCCTTTACGGAGCGTAATGCTAGCCTGCGCTCATCCCCCGTCACACGCACGCACACACACACGCACGCACGCACACACACAGACAGACAGACAGACAGAGTACAAGCGCCGGGAGCAATCAAACTCACTCAAACTCCCGGCGAACAAAATGCAATGCACACACAATGACCCCGCAACAGTATAACTGTGCTGCTGGCCCGCTTACCCGCTACCGGACGTGGGATACAGCGATTGGAAAGTCAACAGCGGCCGCCGAAACTTTAGTCCGGGGAAACCCCAGCACTACCAACTATCCCTCCCAGTCATTCGCTCGCGCACAACATCATGCCCACGTCCCGGCACGATAGCCTTGGCCAGCGGCTCAGCAGCACCTGCAATCAAAAACCAAGAAAAACCCCTCCTGACCCAGAAACTACAATCGCTTTTAAAGGCTTGGACTCATTACAAATTGAACTCAGCTGTTCATCTCCTGGAAACGTCATAGACGCAAATGACGCCAGTACGCATCATCCTGGTTTGGGAAGCACCGCTTACATCCACCCCCCCTACTCAAAATGTGTCCACACATTTCCACTTAAATTCTGTAACGCTGTGGCAACAGGCCCTTGGTGGCCCGTGCAGATCGCCTCAAACCCTCCACTGATACATCAGGTGGGCTAGAGAGTCCTTCTCTCTGTATAGTCTGAGCAGTTGTTTCAGCGTTGTCCATAACAGTCCTTTCATTTTCCCTTACAGGTGCAGGCAAATCTGTTAGACAGCCCCCGACCCAAGGATACATACACCAATTACTGTTCAGTGGATCAACCTGAAGAGCAGGAGCTTGCTCCCCTACTTCATTCTCTGAATGTGAGGTTACCTCAAATTTGCAGGGACTTAACATATTGCGGTGCAACACCCTCTCATCACAATTACCCCCTTCCTTCTTTACAACATAAACTGGTATGTCAAGATTAGGTTGAGAAATAACCACATATGTATTCCTCTCCCACCTATCCTCCAATTTACCTTTTCCTCTGGCCCTCTTATTAAGAACCATTACCCTCTGTCCTATTAGCAAAGGTTCCCCTCTTACCCTACGATCAAACCCCTTCTTTTGATGAAGTTGAGCCTTCTGGACCTGTTTTCTCGCTTGACTATAGGCAGTTACCAGTCTTTTATGGTGATGATGCACCCAGCTGCCAACTGTTCCTGAAAACCCATCTCCCCGACCCAACATAATGTCCATGGGCAGCTTAGCATATCGTCCAAACATCAAAAAGTAAGGGGCATACCCTGTAGATGGATGGGGGGTATTATTGTAGGCTTGTACCATCTCTGCTACATGCTGGTCCCAATTTTCCTTCTGGTCATCCCTTAATGTACCCAGCATGCTCAACAATGTCCGATTAAAGCGCTCACATTGTCCATTCCCTGCAGGGTGATAGGGTGTTGTATGGGACTTTCTGATGTCATATAATCCACACAGTTCCTTTATGACTCTAGACTCAAAATTGGGACCCTGATCAGAGTGCAACTGATCAAATCCCCCAAACTGCTGAATGAAATGTTCCCATAACGCCCTTGCAGTTGTCACCGCTGTTTGATCCATGGTTGGCACTGCCACAGCATAACGGGTAAAATGGTCCATCATAACTAAAATGTTACACCTCCCACTACGCGCAGGCTCCAGTGACAGGAAGTCCACAGACACAATCTGTAATGGATAATCTGAATCTATGGATACAAGCGGGGCACTCACTTTATTAGCTGGGGTCTTATGCAGATTACATCGAACACATTTAAGACACCACTTCTCCACTCCTTGTGTCATTCCCGGCCAAAAGAAACGGCGACGGGCCAAGCCGAGAGTTTTTTCCACTCCAAGGTGTCCGGCACGATCGTGCACCCATTCTAGGACTTGGTTCTGCAAACTTTGAGGCACCAAAACTTGTTTCAGTTTGTCAAATGTCTTTGGATCACATACCTCACGGCACAACAATCCTCGATCGGTGCCCAGACGACCCCACTGTCGCAGCACCACTTGAGTAGGTCGATCCTCTGCTGCTCGTTCTCTTGGTCCAGGGCCTCTTCCTCTGTCCATATACATCCACAATCGTGACTGCACTGGATCCGCCCGCTGTGACCTCACCCAGTCATCCAACAAACTAGGTCCGACACACTCCTCCTGGGTCAACTGTGGCTCTCGTTCTTTGCTTGGCTCCTTCTCCTGGTCCTTAACTACTGGAACAAAGGCATGGACACAAGCATGAACCACTTCAGATGGTACATATCCCGGCTCACCACATGGCACTGCTTCATCCTCTATAGACTGGCCATCTGTCTCTTTCCCAGGCCATCTCGAGAGGGCATCAGCGTTTCCATTTGTCCGTCCTGGTCTATAGCGCACATCAAACTGAAATCCAGCCAATTGGGCCATCCATCGTTGCTCCACTGCCCCCAGCGTAGCCGTATTCAGGTGAGCCAGCGGATTATTATCTGTGAACACAGTAAAGGGAGACACAGCAAGATAGTCCCTGAACTTTTCCGCTATAGCCCATTTTAAAGCCAGCAGTTCTAATTTAAATGAGCTATAGTTTTTATCGTTCCTCTCCGTAGGGCGTAGGCTTCTGCTTGCATAAGCAATTACTCTCTCCTTCCCTTCTTGAACCTGAGCAAGTACTGCTCCCAAACCCGTCTGACAGGCATCCGTATACAGCACAAATGGCAGCTGGAAATCAGCATATGCTAATATGGGTGCTTGCAGGAGGCTCTCCTTTAATTTCTTGAAGGCGCTTTCTTGCATCTCCCCCCATGCCCAACGCTCTGCTTTACCTGCAGCTGGTTGAGTTCGTCGTTTCGATGTCCCCCATAACATTGAATTCAGTGGTGCTGCAATCTTTGCAAAGTCTTTTTTAAAACGTCTATAATAACCCACTAGGCCCAAAAAGGCCCGAAGCTGGGTAATGTTCTGAGGAGCCGCCCATGTCTCCACGGCTTGCAACTTCCCTGGGTCTGGTGACACCCCTCCTTCTGAAATCACATGGCCCAAATAATGCACTTTGCTCTGAAACAGAGAACACTTAGTTGGTTTTACTTTCAGGTTAAAATCCCCAAGACGACTAAAAACCAAGTCCAGATGGTCAATGTGAGCCTCAAAAGAGGAGGAGAAAATAATTATATCATCCAGATAAAGCAACACAGTTTCAAAATTTTGATCCCCAAGACAGCTTTCAACCAGCCTTTGAAAAGTTCCTGGAGCATTGCATAACCCCATTGGCATCCGATTAAATTCATATAGCCCCATTGGGGTAACAAAAGCGGTCTTCTCTTTGTCAGCTGGGTGCACCCCCACTTGCCAATACCCATGTGCTAAATCTAAAGTTGAAAACACTGTAGATTTTTTCAATGAGGCTAGTGATTCCTCAATTCTAGGCAAAGGATATGAATCTTTATGTGTAACACCATTCAGACACCTGTAGTCTACGCAGAAACGAAGGGTGCCGTCCTTCTTTCTGACAAGCACTACAGGTGCTGCCCAGGGGCTATAGCTCTCCCTAATAATACCATTCTCAAGCATGTTATTTAAAAGTCCCCTAACTTCCTGATACAATTTTGGTGGAATCCTATTGTAACGTTCTCTAATTGGGGCTGCATCACCTGTTGGTATTACATGCAAGACTCTATCTGTAAATCCATAATCTTCCTCATGCTCTGAGAAAACCTTCTGATGTTTAGCCAGCAAACCAGAAATCATCTCTTGTTGTTTTAGACTAAACTGCTGTGGATCTAACGATACAGCAACAGGCCATGGCATCTGCACTTGTTCGTCATCCTGCACTCTATTTTGTCTCACGCTTACCTCCACAGTGTCATCATCTAATGATCTTAATTCCACATTTCCTTGCAGGCCAGAAGAACACAACTCCACATCTGAATGCTGTCCAATCCGGCAGCGTTGGGAGAGGATCACAGCCACTGGGGACAGATTAAGAATTCTAACCATAACCCTTCCCTTTGAAACTGTACTCAATGATCGGGCTACCAATAACTGCCCTGGCAATACATCTGGACATGGTTCTACCAAACCCACATAATCCCTCTTATCAGGCCGAACCCGTGCACATGCCTCGATCACCATCTCTGACTGTGGTGGTATTATTTTTTTCCTTCCCTGGGGCCAGTAAATTGAACTTATCTGCCCCGACTCGTCAGCAAAATGTAATAAATCTTCACACACAGAAAACATCTGGCGCCATACTTTAACTTGTACTTCACTTTCTGAGCCTAGGTAATCATCTCCAGTTTTTGTCATTAAAAATTCTCTACATTCCTTAATTACATTCATGCCAATCAACCCTGGATATGATGATCCGTGTGAATCTTTGACAATAAGCACGCCCCTTTTTGGTATGACTTTGCCACAAATATTTAAATCCACCTCAATGTAGCCAATATATGGGATGACTAACCCATTAGCAGCCACTAGGTTAAATTTTTGAATGGGTGGATACATCGTTGGCCCTTCGGTCTTGAAATGTTTCTTAAAATAACTTTCAGTCAATGTGGTTACCTGCGAGCCAGTATCAATTAAGCAAGATGTTTTAACTCCTTGTATTTCTACCTGCACGACTGGACATTGTCCTATTAGGTGATCTTTCTTTTCTAATTGGCCACTACTTGATGTACCCACCGTTTGGGCCTGTACAGTGGGCTCTATGAGTTTAAAGGCCCTTGTGGTCCTTCTACAGTCCTACAACGTCTTTCAATATGACCCACTTGTTTACAACGCCGACAAAGAGGTCTTCCCTGATGGTCGAATTGATCAGAACTTCTTCGACCCCCCATCAACTCATACCTAGGTCTAACACCCTCACTCTTAGGCCACATATTCTGTACTCCTTCACGGACTTCACTCATCATTCCAGCTACTATTTCTTTTATTTCTCCTTTCAGCTGCAAAAATACTTCCTGTTTAATTTCCTCTACCAATTTGGTTGTATCTAGAGTTGGTTTCATTTGTACGGTTGCAGCTACTGCTTGCCTTACCTCTCCAAACGCATCTGCTTGTAGGATGGCTTCTCGTTTAATATCAACAAAAGCAATATCTGATGATGCTCTTACCATACCCTGAAGTTCCCTCCGCAGCCCGGCATCAAAAAGTCCCAAAATAAACTGATCCCGTAACACATAGCCTCCAGTAGTGTGATCTCCCCTACTCTCCAACCGATTACTTAATTCCTGAAGTACTAATGCAAACTGTCTCACACTCTCATCGGTCCTTTGTTTACGAGTAAAAAATTGGGAACGAAGGGTTGCAAGAGGGACTGTATCCCCATAATTATTTTTCAAAAATGTCAATATCTGTCCTGATGTTACACGCTCTGCTATCGGCAAAGCTAACACTTCCCTCTTCGCTTCCCCATCTAAATTACTTATTAAAGCTGAAACTTTTTGAGCCTCTGAAAAAGGGTACATATCAAACATTGATTTTTGCATATTATGCCAATCCTGAAAATTATTCTCCTGTGCCGTTTTCTCCCCACTAAATTTTTGACACCATGGTGTCCCCATCATCAAAGGAAACATAAGCATGGCTTGATTCTGGGCTATATTAGGTGAGCTATCAGCCCCCTGCTGCTGCTCACTAGATGTAGAAGGTGACTGGTCTAACTGTTGTGTGGTTGACATTTTCCTGATTATTGCCCAAAGTCCAGACTGCCAAAATTACGCCAAGTTGTAACCCTCCCAAAAAGGGAATAAAGTATTCACACACAACACAAGTTCTTTGCTGGACAAAATACAGTATTTATTTTGGGCCACAATAATCAAGGAAACGTCAAACACTCAATTCATTTAAATACTAATTTCACTTTTATTTTATACAATAATCCTAAAGATTAAATTTCCACACAAGGGGAGCAGCAGGTAGGGAATCAAAAGGACATAAAGTTCATGATGTAAAGATTGTTAGTGGACTGCATAAAAATTATTAGGTAAGGCAATTAAAATGACCACCACAAGGCATTTAACAAGGGGTATCAACCGTAATTGTGCAACACATCATCATTTCACATCAACCCAGAGTTGTAATACACCACACAGTAAATCTCATAAATATAAATGTATAAATAACACCCATAAATAGACTCCACACAGCAATCAAATCATAAGCTACCATCAATACCACTCCAGCTAAATATCAAGCCGTCGTCATTTAACATTTCCTTTACGGAGCGTAATGCTAGCCTGCGCTCATCCCCCGTCACACGCACGCACACACGCACGCACGCACGCACGCACACACACAGACAGACAGACAGACAGAGTACAAGCGCCGGGAGCAATCAAACTCACTCAAACTCCCGGCGAACAAAATGCAATGCACACACAATGACCCCGCAACAGTATAACTGTGCTGCTGGCCCGCTTACCCGCTACCGGACGTGGGATACAGCGATTGGAAAGTCAACAGCGGCCGCCGAAACTTTAGTCCGGGGAAACCCCAGCACTACCAACTATCCCTCCCAGTCATTCGCTCGCGCACAACATCATGCCCACGTCCCGGCACGATAGCCTTGGCCAGCGGCTCAGCAGCACCTGCAATCAAAAACCAAGAAAAACCCCTCCTGACCCAGAAACTACAATCGCTTTTAAAGGCTTGGACTCATTACAAATTGAACTCAGCTGTTCATCTCCTGGAAACGTCATAGACGCAAATGACGCCAGTACGCATCATCCTGGTTTGGGAAGCACCGCTTACACGTGCCCTGCGGGCCCGTCCGCTACGCCACTGGACCAGGACCAGCAGTGTTCTTGCTGTGGGGCTCACAGTGCTAACCACTGGGCAGCCGTGCCGCCCAATAAGTGGTAAAGGAGGAGAATAGGGGAGGAAGATAAAATGGATTGAAAACCGTGGTTATTTATAGTAGCTCAGGGCTCATATGATTGGAAGATAATGATTAGCTAATACAAGACCGGCCGTGATGAATCATAAGCACGTGATCTTCTCAAAATTATGTCATGAATAAACTTCACTTTTCAAATAAGTACTGTTTAGGTTAGTTAAGGGTTAAGTACTCACCCTCACATCCATACCCCTAAGACCGTGAATTAGGTTCTCTTGTCACGTTTTAGTTAAAACAATTCACACTGTATAGTATGAATATTTTTAATATTCTGCCATAATTGTATATGCTTCATTTTTCAATACACAGTAAAGAGATCCAGATTACATCACATTCAATGTCAAAATTCAATTAAATTCAATCATTTTGCAGCCAATACAGCGTCAATTCATCTTGGGAATTGACTGTGCACAGTGCCCAGAGAGATTAGGAGCGGTTCTACCTGCGAGATTTTTAGCCAGGTCACTGTTTGCTGGTGGAAGAAAATGTTTCCTGACTTGCTTATTCAAAACATCCTGAAGTGTTAAATAATATTTTAATCTGATGACTGTGCAGGCCAAAGGAGATGTTCAACTTTAATTTTATGGTCATCAAACTACTCTGTCACCAGTCTTGCTGTGTGTATTGGTGCATTATCATCCTGATACACATGCACATGGTCCTCCAAAATGGTTTGATAGTCCTTAGCAGTAATGCGCCCATATAAAACAAGTATTGGGCCTAGGGAATGCCATGATATTGTAGCCCAAACCATCATTGATCCACCCCCAAGCTTCAATCTGAGTGGTACGCTTCTTTGGGGCTTCTCCACACCGTAACTCTCACAGATGTGTGAAATACAGTGAATGTGGAATCATCTGAGAACTACATGTTTCACATTGTCCACAGCCCAAGATTTTCACTGCTGGCACCATTGAAACTGACATTTGGTAGTCGCACGAGTACAAACGTTTGGCTAGAGAGGCCCAGACATGTACAGTATATAGACCCTGTGGAGCTCCCGATGAGCGGTTTTGGTGGAAAGTTGAGGGCAGCTGTGATCTTATGTTTTTTGGATACAATCTAGCTTATACAGTTGGCTTACAGTCTTTCAGAAAGCTTTCTCTCGCCTCTACAGTGGCTCCTGTTGGATTCTGTTTGTTCTTGGTGGTTTGCTGACGTTACTCTGGGCATCGTGGCTCTTTATACAGCACAAAGAATTGCCACAATGGACTTCTAACTCTGCACAAGACGTTTGGCCATGGGAGAAATAGTCGTGCCCAACTGAGCCAGGTTTCTCTCTGTTTTTTTAATTCTTCACTTTCGCCAATTGGTGAAGTTTTTTCCTCGCCGCTGTCGCCACTGGCTTGCATGGATCAGGATCTTTAGAGCTTCAGGAGAGGTTCCGGATCCATCGATGGATTTGCTCTTCAGTGTTTGGACTCTCAGCAGTGAATATTAACCCACACTGAACTGAACTAAACTGAACCTCAACACTAAATACTAAACTGACACTGTTTCAATTTACTATAATCCTCAATGTGAAGCTGCTTTGACACAATCTACATTGTAAAAGCGCTATAGAAATAAAGATGAATTGAATTGTGTGCATTGCAATATTTTAAGCAGAACTGAGATTACTCTGCTAAATAAACCTTCACACTCTGCTCTTACTGGTGGAATGTGCAAAGAATGAAGACTGACCACCAGGCTGTGCAAATTTAGCCATGAAACCTCCAAAACTAAATTGGCCAGTGTTTCCGCTTCATTGTCAACCCCTGAATTTCTAACTTCTCTTTTGTGTGTGTGATTGTACGGAAGTGTTGCGTCTGTGTCTGAGACAGGCAGTGTGTCATTAATAGATCAGGATGGAGCTCAATGCACTTCCTCTATTGCTCTGTGAGTATCGTTTTACCATTTATGCATTAAATTGTCCCTTCTTAAGGTATACAGCAGTTCACGGGCTGACCCTTAGATTCTTGGTCTCAGTTTCTTCACTGGTTCTCTGCAGTGATGCCGAGCTCAGATTGTCTGTTTGATGTCAGGTTTTGCTGTTCTGGGTTCAGCTGTTGAATCAATACTAAACCCAGCAGCAGCAGAATGACCATGTGTTTAATGATATAGTGAAATGTGGTTTGAGGTCGTGTTTTTTTCTACTCAAACGCTTAACTGTGACATTATTGACCACAGTGATTAAGCACTTCCATCTGAAGCAATGACTATATTCAGATTAACTTTACTCTCAGAAATGCAC